GGGAGCCGTGCCCATTCTGAAGCAGATTTGCATCGTGTGCCGCACACGGGGAGCCGTGCCCATTCTGAAGCAGATTTGCATCGTGTGGCGCACACGGGGAGCCGTGCCCATTCTGAAGCAAATTTGCATCGTGTGGCGCACACGGAGAGCCACACTAGCTTATTTCCAGGACACTTCAGCACTTTCCAAGAATGTGTCCTAAAATAAATTCAGAGAAGGCTTTAAAAAACGAGGTTAATAAAACATATTAGGTAGCAATTAACATAAGCATTTAATTTTCTAGGCTATGTCAACATATATTAATATCAACACCTATAATAAGTTGAGTCATTGCCAAATCAAGCCACCTGGGCGGCGCCAGAGATTTTCTTTTGCTGGTGCTATGGGGCTGCTTGACTTTTCAATGAAGGTGCCCTGAAACTTAGGGTTTCCCCTTAATGTGCCAATCGCCACAGTTTATTTTCTACTGCAACACCCCCAACGCACGTACATAAACACACACACAGTACCTGCTCCACAACAGTCACAATGATATTGAGTGTTATGCTCTAGGAGAGATATTAAATTATGGTATTCACACATTAACAGTGAAAAAGAAAAACAAAATAAACAACAGAAATTTCTTCTGGGTGCTATGGCTGACATAGGGGTAGCTACTGCCCCCCCGACTGTGCCGACTCTGCCAATCTGGCATTTTAAGTATAAATGGATTCACAACGTAAGGAATCCTGAATTGTCTTCAAAAGCATATTAAAGATATTTTATGTTGTATATGTCACTATTCCATAAATGTTCTGTTGCTGATTTGAGTGTTTCTGGAATCAAGCGTCATTCACAAAAAGGGGATGCACTGTTGATTGCCCCAGCCTTGATCTGTTGCCCACTAATCGAGTCAAAGAGCCCCACTTCATCAATTTCTACCTAAATTTGGTTGCTTGGCTGATGCTTTTATGTGTGAGATATTGTGAAATGAAAAAGATTAAAATGTGCAGGAGGAGTGAAAAATCTTTCGGTTGTTCCTGTAAGCCACAGCGAACCGTCTGTTTCCATCTCTTCCTGTCCTCTGCGTCTTCCTCTTTCACATCAGCCCTCTGCATGTCCTCCTCACCACAACCTCCTCTTAGGTCGTCCCCTTTTCCTCCTGCCTAGCAGCTCTATTCTCACCATCCTTCTATCAACATTTGTAGCATCTCCCCTCTGTAGATACAGAGAGTAAAAAATATTCTTTAAAAAAAACAGTAAAATCTCCAGATAGTGAGAGAGACTCTAATCACTTTTGCTAGTATTGTATAAATAACCGACATATACTTTTTATGAATTATGTCTGTTGGACCAGGCCGGTGCAAAGGGGGGGGTTGCCCGATCACCAGTCCGCTTAGCCTAAATTATTTAACGTGAATCTGTGTGTGCTTTAAAGGTACTGAGTGCCTCTTTTTTAACCTTTCAGCACCTGCTCCTCAACATGTCTCTGCACAACCCTGTTTTGGACAATGACTGAAGGCCCCAAAACGACATCATGATTGTGGCAAGTTATCCAGGTGAGTTTTCTTCAGCGAAATGCTGCCACCTTCCGTCAAATGGTGGGAGCTGCACAGTGCCATTGGAGTCATCAGTAAAAGGACGAATGTAACTCCACCTAAACACAGCTGATGTCTTCCAAACGCAGACACGCACGGAGATTTGTGCAGATAACTGCAAAACACAGGCACACATGAAATGTACGAAAGAAGATATGTGCAAATATTTGCATATTAATAGGCAGAATGCTCCTTGAGTATTTTACCATCGGAATTATGAAATTAAACTGCAGGGAGGCGTGTTACATGTGTTACAGCTATGATGCGTGCAGAAAGGGCCGATCCGCCACCCGCGCCGCACCGACCCCGAGCCTCATGAGCCCATCCTTCGACACTGACATCACAGCGCCGCCCTCCCTCCCCCTCCCCCTCTGTTTATCCTCCCCCTAAACTAGTTTCCCTGCCTCGTACGGCTCGTCACCGCAGCCCTCGGCTTCCCAATTTGACGGGAGGGCCCGGCGTAGACCCGCCTCTCCTCGGCTCGCTTGCATTATCCTCCAGCCCGCCTCCAGCGACGGCGCTTGGTTGTGAGCGGCCGGCGGCAGGCAGGGCTCGCAGTAACAATACTGACAGCCGCGACGGGAAGATGGAGCGAGGAGACCAGGATTTCAACATACTGCTGGCCACGGACTCCTACAAGGTGGGTTCCGCGAAGGAAAGGCGGCGGGATAAAAGGCGGCGGTGACCGCTGGGTTGGCTGGCAGGCGGAGCTCATTGACCGCAGCGGTGCAGGAAAGCCGAGGCGGATTATTCTCCGAGGCCATCACTCCGTGCGCCGGGTTTGCTAGGCCGACCCGGGGCGGGGTGCTGCTGGCTGCTGTCGGCCGGGGCGGTTCATTTAGCCATTGAGGGACCGAAATGCGCTGTTTCATAACCTCCATGACTCTCCTTCCCACCATGACTCATGTGGTCCTGGTCAATATGCGGACATTTTACAGGAAAGGAGTATGTAAATGCTCCATTTTGCACGTACGCGCGGTGGAAGGGGGGCGGTTTGTTCAGGGGGTCAGGAGAGGCGAAGTGATGAAGGGGAGGGTCGGAGGGTAGCAGCTGGTCAGGGGGGGAAGCACGGCCAGCTGCTCCGTCTCCTCCGTTCTGCCGAGCGCGTGACAGTGGGCTCCGAAACGGAAAGTGAAACTAGCGTACTTAAGTAAAACCATACTTAAAGGAAGTGCGAATTTATCACAATTTAACTTATTTAAAGTAGTAAATCATCAACTCAGGAGTATGATACAATGTTTTAGGTTTCAATTTGAACTACAAATGAAACAAATGACTTTCCTTTCTTTGTAACTACATGTCAATGATTTAATAGTAGTTTATCTGGTCGGCGCTATTGCTGACTGAATTGTGTGCACAGGTACACAGGAGGGTGCGGGCCTCCTTTCAGGCTATAGTTACTATTTTGGTGCTTTTCGGAGTGATGCCGTGGGAGACAGATGCAGAGAAGCCGGCTGCCACGCCTTTAGTTATGAAATCAGACTATTCTACAGTCAAGCATTAAGAGAAGAATAAGTACCTTTAACTTCCTTGTAACGCGAGCAGGGTATGTCGTAATAACTTCTTGGTTTCATTTAAAGTCTATATTTAAACTGTATAAGGATCTCTGATGTATCACACTTTCTGCTGGAGACAGTGCATTTACTAATCTCCATGATAAATACATTATATGTATTATCTATGATATATATATATATATATATGAATGATATGATATATATCAGTACATTGTACGAGAAAAAGCTGAAGTGCATCCCTTTCTCATATAATCAGCACTGCATGGCTGAGAACCCAGATTAACAAATTTCTACAACATGCTACCTGTTAGCTATGGTACTTGAGGAGGGGGGGGTCAGGATGCCTCATCTGATCCAAATGGTTTGAGTCCCAGGGGTGACGGGGTGATTTTCCCTTTGGACCCTTGAGTGAGCCCCTTAATTCCCAGCTGCCTCACCCTGCTTTCCCAACAATCTGTGTTACTTTGGATAAACGCATCTGCTGAATGAATTAAATGTATAATGAAAGTGTAGTGAGGCTCCCTAGGGGTCGTTAGAGCTTCACTACAGAGAGAGGGATGTGCAAACAGCCGGAACATCCTCATTTGGGCAGGCAAACAGCTGCGTGTCGTGTGGGATGGCTGGACAGGAAGGTAAATGTAAAAGAACTTTATGTGCGATTAAATGTGCTTTTGACCTTAACATTTATTTATAGTTTCCATGGTCATGTTGTCTGGCGCGCACTATGGTCGCCGTGCCTGAAAACAGGTGCGCGGCCCCAGATTTATAATCTCCCTGTTCTGATGAAAGACTTTGGTTCTATGTTGGGGGGTGACGGGGTGTGTTTAGCAGAAAACTTGATAAGCAGTTAACAAGACGCATCAAGCTGAGAAAAAGATCTCAGGCTGCCCTGCGCTGCCTTTTCGGGGGCGTGTGATGTTGATGTGAAGGTCAAGGAGGAAGCAAAGGTCACAGGCTGTTAATAGCTGCAGCCAGTGAAGTCGCGTCTGTCACTAACACTGCAAAATGCAGTGGCATTATTTAAACACTTAATGGGAAAAACCTTTCTGATTTGTTTTAATGAAAAAAGATCAGCATTCAAAATTTTCTGTTTTTACGTGGATTGCTTAACTTCTGTGCCATGACATCCTTATGCAAACTGCTGCAACAGGATTTATTTAATGCCTCCCCCCCAGGGCAGGCCGTGTCCAGCGGCGTCTGTGAGGATGGTTGTGTGTGTTTGGTCTGCTGTACTCGAACCTTGGTGCTAAAGCAATGGCATGACCCAGCTGATTGTGACCAGCAGCGGGTACATCCAAATGATCTAGGTGAAGCAGAAGCCTGGTGGTAGAGCTGGGTGATATGACCAAAAATTTATATCACGGTATTTTTCAACGTTATATCGGTTTCACGGTATACAACTCTATTTTTTTTAAGTATGACTGGGCGTTTACCACATTTTACAGGACACATTTTTGTTTTACGTTTTTGCATTGTTCCCTTATTAACTATATTATTTTATTATTAGCCATTGGGCCTATCCGCTACCTTAATGATAACATACGGCTAACGTGTTTGTTGGCTAACTGCTTATAGATTTGACTAATGTTAAGCTAATTAAGGTGTGCGCCGGCCAAGTTAACATTTTTGATAAGTGTTTAATAGTTCAGTGTTGCTGGAACGTGAGTTTTACTGACCTCGAGAGATTTCTCATATAGACCGGGATTGAGGCTTATCGACATCCTTAGCCTTTCCATGCTCGTCTGCAAAATACTTCCTAATGGCACTTTTAATAAAAAATAAAAAAAATTTTTTTTACTAAAGCAGCTTGCAAAGTGCCTTCAACTCCCCCCCCCCCCATTTTTTAAGTATCAGAGAGAGTCAAAATTGGGCCCTCATAGGGGGTCAGAATCCCACATGCTACACCACAGGGGGGGCTGCAGAGTGAAAAAGTGCCACGTTTTATTATGTTCATTGTGGTTCTGCCTTAATTTCAATGACAAAGGATTCCAGAAAAAGTAGAATCAGAAGTATTCATCACACCGTGAACCTGTGCAGTTATGCTTGTCTTAATGTTTTTGGACAAAATAAGCACCGTAAGCACATTACAGTGCGCTCATTAATGTATCCCTGTCTGTGATCTTCTTGCCAGGCATTATAGTAATTGCCTTACTCTGTTTGTAATTGCCTTACCCGGTTTGTAAGTACCTGCTCCTGAATCTCTTGGCCAGCCTATTGGAAAGGATTTTTTTTCTCATACAGGGGAACCTTGATAATGAGAAACTCTTTCACCCTCCCTGTTTTGTTCCTATGTGTCCCTTAACCTAAGCCCCTAAAAACTTGTCACGCTTGAAGCAGGCTTTTATCCCTGGATTCTCATAGCCGGGCCAGAA